TGCCAAGTGAATGCAGATCCTACTGATTCAATCATTTTACAGCTCTGGCGTTTACACATATGTTAGTGTTTGGCCGAGTTTCTCCTTCGATTTGTGGCGTGCGCCTTGATGTTGTCACACAAAAGGGAGGGACTCCGAACTGCGATTGTATTTTTATGGCAAGCTGTTTTTCATTGCAGAAATACAATCGGAGGTTTGCCATAGCCTGCCGAGGGGCGACCGCTGTAAAGAAAAAACCTTTTTTTCTAAATTTGCGATGTTGCCTTGACAAGGCTTGAATCCAGGCCCTGGGGAGTGGAAGTGCGTACAGCTTACCACTACACTACAGCGGCCGTATGGGAATAGTACTAAAAGTATATCCTCTTCACATTACTCGGTATGACATCAGATCGACATTTTTTCCTCTGTATTTTCGGCTTACCGAAACGATTCTGCGTTGATTTGATCTGCACACTTGTCGGAATATTTTCGGTATGTAATTTGTAGAAAAAAAATTAAAAAAGCCGGAAAGCACGAAATTAAATTTGAAAATTTCATAAATCATATAACGAAAATATCCTCTGTCGAAGACAAAGACGTTATAGCTTATATTTTTTTGGTATAAGTTACAACAGTATACTTTTTTTGAGGCAGAAACAACAGCTAAAGCAGTTATGAAAGGTCAAAAGTTAAATGTAGCGCTTTTTTCAAAACCATATATCTCGAAAGGCATCGCACCGATTCTAAAAATCTTGATGTCATTAAATAGGAATGTGAGTGGCTTTAATTACATATATAAACGGTATATATAACTTCTTAAGTTTTAGCAAAAATCCCATTTATAAAAAAAATGACAAACAATTTTAAACAAATACATTTTTCTTTAAAAAGTGCCGTATTAATTACAGTTAAAAGTCTTATTAATAAATGGTGCTCAAATCAAGCTTTCGTCTGATATACAACATGTTGAGTTTAATCCTCGCAATTCGGAGTATTTCAAAAAATAACTCTGGCCGGACCAATGCCAGCTACGCTATCCACAGTATTTTTGCGCAAAACCTTTTTCTTAGTAAGGGTTATAATCCCTAAGCGCTGCCGAAGGCCGCCAACGCAGAAGGTGTTCTGTGCAAAAAGGTGTTGCGCCCCTCTTCTTCGACAACAGAGAAAGGAGAATACTACTTAGTAAGGGTTATAATCCGTATGCGCAGCCGAAGGCCGCCTATCCAGAAAAAGGTTTTGCGCAAAATTGCTGTGGATAGCGTAGCTGGCATTGGTCCGGCCAGAGTTATTTTTTGAAATACTCCGAATTGCGAGGATTAAACACAACATTTTATGTATCAAACGAAAGCTTGAGTTGTGCACTATTTATTTATAAGACTTTTAACTGTAAGTAATCGGCACTTTTTAAAGAAAAATGTGTTTGTAATTTTTTTTACATAAATTGGATTTTTGTTAAAACTTAAGAAGTTATATATACCGCTTATACATGTAATTAAAGCCACTCACATTCCTATTTAATGACATAAAAATTTTTAGAATCGGTGCGATGCTTTTCGAGATATATGGATTTGAAAAAAGCGCTACATTTGACCTTTAAAAACTAAGGGCCGGTTACTCAATGTCTGGTTAACACTAATCTCCGGTAAAACATCGTTATCGACGTTACCGACTCCATGTTATATGCATGGAGCCGAACACGTTGATAATGATGTTTAAACGGAGATTAGTGTTAACCAGACATTGAGTAACCGGCCCTAAAAATGTCTATCCGATATCGTATCAAGTAATGTGAAAGCGCTCTTATGGTCTAATTATGCAAACTTCGCATAACTTCGCACAACTTCGCATCAAATTCAACCTGTATTTATATGTAATTTGTATGTATTCCATTACCCATAAATTAGCAGAACTTTTAAAAACTTAGCGATCTGTTGAGTTTAGATTTTGCTTCACATTTTCTTAAGCTACATTTCTATTGCACTGTCCAAATGGTTGTGTGAAGTGTGCATAATCAGACCTTTACATGGCTACAAAAATTTTTCACGTTAATCACCCTGTTTCATTTCTATCGTTCCAACAAACAGTGCTGCTTGTTTGTATTTCTTCGCCTAGTCCAATTTGATGTGCATTTTTTACCATTGCAAAATACGACGCCGATAAAAGTGGATGACGGTGGAGTTGGCCAAGTACGTGATGTATTATTTCCTGAATAGTGTTTGAAAAGAAAATAATAAGATGTGTATAATAATGTTGCAGTGAAAAGTTAGAACATAAAGTCATCGAAAATTTATTTGATATAAAGAAAGGAAATACAAATTTTTGAATATTTTGCACAATTGTTCGTTCGCTTCTGGTGACTACCGTGCTCGTTTATGTGCATATGAGTGTTTGTCGCGCTGGGATTGAAGCCGGAAAAGTATGTGTAGAGTGAAGATACATGCATAGTATATGCAAAATAAACAAAATTTTTCTAAAGAAATGAGTTGAAAGTAAATTGAAAAGTACATATTTTATATAAAAAGATATTAAGTGCATAGAAATACAATTTCCGGGCGGAAAATTTGTAATTTGTAATTTACAAGCTCAGACGAACCGCCCGCCACTCCTTCGCAGAAAAATTTTCCATTTTCTGCATTCGCGGTTCTGCAAAGTTTCGATTTGAAATATATTCCCACTGGAGCTCAAGTATATGTACATACATATATACACAGCTGCTGGTGGAGCGTGGAGCCGAGTGAGTGCTTTCGCGTATGTGTATGTTGGGGCTGCAAACAAGGAAGCCGAACAGTGAGTAACACTGAGCTGCGGCTAGCTTAGGGAGTTATTTGTCTGCAAATAATCACAACGGAATCCTTATGCAGCGCCTGCAAAGGAATAGTAAATACAGTGAAAATATTGAGGTATTTCAGTAAAAATAAATGCTTTGTGAATGCAGTAATATCAGTCGTGAGTGAACAATAGTGCTCAACTTCGATAAAATCCAGATAAAGCAATGCAAATGCGGGCAGCAGCTTCAAATAAAAAAAAAAATTCATTAATCCTGGGCGTATATTTATTTTATATCTGAGGTAAGTTTTCAAATAATTTACAGTTATGCACTCATTCTGAAAATATATTGTACCTTGTTTGAATTGGTATCTACTATTTGCCACGCCTGTGTAATACCCCCCTCCTACTACTTTCATTCATTAAGTGCGCTACCTCTCTGCTGCTCTGTTATCTATGCACTTCTAAAGCAAAAACTTTGTTCGCAGTGTTTCCACAACTTCTTGTAGCAATCGATGCTGCCTGCGGTGGTATTCAGAATTTCTGTTCTGTATGTGTTT